GGCAATAGGGCAAACAGTGCAATAGAGTAATATAGGTACCAGAGAACTATTAAGTAATATGTGATGGAAAGGGGATAAGGATGTGTAAAAGGTAGTAAAATTATGCTTTTAAATTCAGTTCCTACAGGGTTTTGTTAGCCCTCATAAGAGAACTACTTAGAAAATGTGGTCTGTGGCCGGGAAGTGGAGTGTCCTTATTGCTGATCCCCCGTCTGCACCGCAGGGCCTGAAGACGGGCATGTACTACCTGAGAACCAAGCCGGCTGCCAACCCCATCCAATTTACCCTCAACAAGGAGAAGCTGAAGGAGAGCCAGCCGGCCGTGTCCAACGGAGACGATGCTGCCGCCGCCAAGGAGCGCAACAAGGCGGCCATGGTGTGCTCCCTGGAGAACAGAGATGAGTGTCTGATGTGCGGATCCTAAGCCCACCCTGCCGCCACCAGCCCCCCTTCAGTTTGGGCTGTAAATGATCAGTGCTTCAATTTTCCTCTGAGTAGTGGGGAGGTTTGTCATTTACGTTCTTCATTGTTCTGTAGAACACAATGGTTTATCCCAGGATAGGGTATCCTGGCTGACTGGACTCAAACTTCAGGTCACTTGGGACTATTACTCTCTTGGCTCCCCCCAGTATGTTCCTGACTAAGCTTAATTCCCCCCCCCCCACACCCCATCCACACCCATCATCAGCATTTTCATAGGGGTAAAATTTTGAACTGCTTTAAGTCACCAATTGTATGATTCTCTTTAGCAAGTATAGCCAGATGCATCAAACTGTAAATATTCATTTGTATCCCTTACACCACAAACTGTAAAATCCTAATTTGCAATCTATAGGTTGAGGTTTAACTTCGGCTCTTTTTCCCCCTGTACAGAATGGCTTGTTAAAGTGGCCTACTTGTATTTTGTGCTCCAACTCAGTTGTAAATGTCACGGTAAGTGTTAATATGTAAATCTACTCTGCCGTTGGAGTAAACACCGTGACTTAAATACAGGTACACGTGGATCTCGCTGTATATTAACCTGTTTTACATTTTTGCAAAATAAAGATTCTGATGTCAGTGATGTGACATGTTCTCTAAAGCCAGGAACAATATGGTGGAACTAAACTGCAAAAGTTTTTAATATTGGGCTGATTCCAGATTTGAATGCTTACAGGTCTGACACCCGTAAGTGGTCATGTGACAGGCCTGGATGTGACACATACGAGTCCATAATTACTCACTCATGATTCACATGGTAGTTTTTTTTATATATTTGATGGGCAGCAGTCTGGGCTAGCGTCATCAAAATTAATGGTTCTATTGTGTATAAAACCGTCACAATACTCATTTTTCATGGTATCGATTCTAGAGCCCGCACTTCTGCTTTGCTCTGTCCATAGGCTAACAATGCAAATGGCAAGTCCTCTGGGTCCACTCACTAGATGACGAGTTCAGAAGCATCAGAACTCTCACCCCTGTGTTAAATTAATCAATGAGTGTATCAGGAGTGACGTCTGCAACTACTATGTGCCAAATGAAGACTTAAACCACAGGACATGCAAGTTTGTATGCAACTTGTGCCATCGCTCAAAACTGAGAACGGGTCATAAATTTAGATAAATATGTGAAGGACTGACACGTGATGTAATACAAAGAGTTGACAGGGAGTCATTTCTGAATTGATGAAATATTAATCTAATCTACATGAGACTCAGTTGAAGCAGAGATGTGATGTGCATTTCTTTTCTACAGGTTAAAAGCTTTATGGCCCGTTAAACATTTCAGCATTAAGAAAATGGTCTGCGGTTGTTTTACCTGTGGGTCATGTTTGGCTCTATGATCTATCATGATTATTCGGATACAACTTTCAGTGTTGTGCAGTTGTTAGTGTTTCTGCCTTGACAGTCGAAGGCATGTAACAGCCACATATCTGTTCTATTACAATTAATATTATAAAATAACATCTAGTAATGGTTTGATTACTGCTCGTATCTCAACACTATTAGAGCGCGATTACAATGGCTACAAATGTACTTTATTATGCTTTGACAATGCAATGCACAGGTTTTTTTGATGCAGGGTCAGAAAGAAAATCATTATAATGACATTCGTTTTTAAATATTTATTGCTGGAAATCATAGCCGTCCGTGTGATTTTCAAGTTTAATTGATGAATCGGTTGCATCTTGCTACAAATACAACCATCTTGCACTTCTTATCAAAACCCATCCCAGAAAATGCACTGGGAATGAGACTGTAGAGATTCTGGCTAAGATGCCAGTCCATTGTAAGGCACACACACAGAATTTTGTACCACTATACAGGATAAGTGATTATGAATAATATAAGGAAGAATATAAGCAGATCATCTGGATTGAATTAACAAGTACTATTTGCTTGGACTGATAAGTAGTTTCTGTACCATGAAGATGTCCAAACCAGATCATGATGTGATTTGCTGATCCAAATGTGCTCTACAGTTGGCATATATATGAGGACCACTAGGTGGCGCCAGGCACCAACTGAAGTCTGCTGCAAGCCTGCTGTGCGAATTCACACACTGTACCGCATTCAAAGGACGAGTGTGTCCCATTTTGAAGGCTCCTTCAAATTCAGCCTAGAAATGCAGCATTCTTTTGCCGAGATCTCAAGATTCATGGCGCAAATATTCGAAGGACACGGCTTACAAAGGCAGCATAGATTGCAGCATTTGAAGGATGCTGCCCCTGAATTTGGACACAGCCATAGAATTAACTTTTTTTTTCCCCATTTTGCCAATGCAGTTTACATCGTTCTATGTATATATTCATATGGTATAGAATATATACAGAAAGCCAAAGGTCTCTTTTTGCAAGTAGTGTATTATTGTTTGTTTTGAATCATGGCAAATGTCAGCGTCACGTTAAAATTTAAATTAAGAGAGAAAAGCAAAATGAGCATTAGCATTATCTGTGCAGAGGTCTGCATGACAAATCGCTGCAAAACATCAAGTGCATTTGCATCTACAGTTATAAAATTGCTTGTCTGTGTTGCTTGGCAGAACTGAAATGGAAAGGGCATGATTCTAACCCCAAAATAAGCATTTGTACACCAGAACCTACCATAATATGCACCCGATTCACCGAAAATTTTAAAGTGTTACGGAAAGCCCTTTAACACAAGGGTCAACAATCTATTTCTGTATTTCTCGAAATTAGGCCTAAATAACCTCCACTTTTTGAGAAATACATGCTATTTGTGGACTCTCCACAACAGATCAGTGATGCAAAAGGAAGTCTGGGTCAAGTCTGAGCTAAACCACCTCCACGTGTTTCCAATTATGTTAAAAGTAACATGAACATTAAACAACATTTATGAATACTACTACTCAGGGGTGATTCTAGTGGCACAAAATCGCTAAAAGGATTTAGAATATTTTTTTAAGGAGGGATAAAAAAATTAAAAAAAATAGGGTGGCAAGAGGATCTAGGATCCCTTATGATACTTCTTCTGTATAGCAGAACATAACTAAATTTTAAATAGCGTAGGACGTTGTTATGGTGAGACAAGTGAAAAACAGCAGAGAAGGTGGGGGTAACAGTATTATGTTGTAATTAGTCCTGATCATTTGCTTCAGTGATGGAGGACTCAGGTGTGATGGAAACAATGGGTGTGACATGCTAATTAATTGCGGTGGGGAACCGGGGGAATAGGCACAAACAGCGGGTGCTCAGCAAGCTGCGACCTGCAAGCGACGCCATGGGAGGCCGTCAATATACAGTAACCGCTCTAACTGGGAGAAAAACAGGGTGCCGTGAGAACGGAGGGCAATGCCACCCTGGCGACCTTTGTTTTCCTCCCGCGGAAACAGCCGTACCACAACGCCAGCACCAACTCACGCTTCCATTTCACCAGACGCTCGGAGGCAGTCTGGTGAAAGCTGATCTTAAACCGGGGGCCAGTCATGTGGTCTCTGAAACGCCACTGCTGTTTCTTCTGAGTCCGCAGTTTAAAATAAACACAGTTGCTGTGTCACTTTAAAATTGACCTACATGCAACTAGTCATCACATGTCTGTGGTTAATATTAGACCTGTTCTGCAAATGGTTTAACCACAGTTTAGAAATGATCATAGTTTCAACATGTTACCAAATCACATATTATTAATAACATACTTAATACCCTGTGTAATTACATGTCTGCATTTAAAATGAATAGGCACCCATCAAATATGAGATCAGAGGAGGCTGTATTTAAGTGTTCTGATAAATTGTAGTAAAAAAAATCACAATTTCCACAGATGCATGTTGGCAAAAAAGTAACAGAGTTCAACAGAACAAAAAATACTTGTCACCATTGAACTCCCTAAAAAAATCACAGGCCTGCAATGATTGACTTGTACACTTCAGAACACAGAAACACAGCAGATAGACTAACTGTGGTTTTATAAGAAGAACATTGTGTTGGTTGTAGGATTTGTCTCCATCACTCTCATGTAAATCTAACACTCTAACTTGTATTTTAATGGTGGAGAAAATTTCCCAACAGTTTAAGGACTCATTATTATTTATTAAGTTTAGTGTATGCCATTAGTAATATGAAAGGACTGAAAGTGCAAAGGAGACATTTACAGATTAATAATATATAATTCAGTATTGCTTTGTTTTAGGCAACTCCGTCTTAAAACCTCTTCAGCTGCTTTTTAGTAGCAGTTTAGCTAAAATGTTAAACTGTAAAAGAAACTGTTTGGCTGAATTAATCTTAAACCAGGTTAAACCGCAGCTGTTTTACAGATAGAGCTTTTTATTCATTTATTTTTGCATCCATTTGACCTTAAAGTACAGGGACCCTGTGAGTCTAGGAGTGTCTACCAGAGACTGTTAGAGAGAAGGAGAGTCGGACAGATGATTAGTTAGTGTTCCATTGTCAGGCAAGAAGAAAAGATGTTTTTACCATTTAGCCAAGTACATCGGTTACCTATGATATTCAGATAATCCTGGATCAGGGATTCCACCAAAGAACACACACGAATGATCCAGTACTAATTTAAGTCTGCCCCATTCTCAGATGGGGTTGTAGTAGATGTCTCTGCCCCTCCCTCAATTGACGACTCCCCTTCCTGGGAACCAAAGCCTGTATCCCAGGAGCGCTTGCTGCCAGTTGGGGAAGAAGCCTGGTCCTCACCTCCCTTTGCATAGGTCTGGTCCTCTACCTCCACCGTTGTTGCCTCCACCTCCACCACCTCTTCCTTCTTCACTTCTTCATCCTCCATCTCATGCACCGTCACCTGCAGGGGGGTGTGCTTGGGAGGGCCAACACTGCTGAAGCCCCGGAAGTTGTTCTTGGCCCCCATGATGTACTTGCCCAGCATGGAGGACCCCTCGCTGGTGGTGCTGTCTGACACGCCGAAGTTACCGTGCATCAGCACCTGGTGGATCTGTTTCATCTCTGAGTGTAGCCTGGACACGACTTTGTTCAGTTCCGTGATCCGGTTACCCACATCTGTGAAGAAATGCAACCGCAGCAGGACCAGAGAGATCAAATAAGCCAGATCCATCCATCCGTCACCGTTGTGGACAGCTTAGAGCCCACCGTTACCAGCACATCTAACATGGAAGGAGACCCATGTGAATGCTGGGAAAACTGGCAAACTCTGGGCACGTAGAGGCGGGGGTGGGATTTGAACCCACAACCATAGAGCCAAAGTGCTGCTAACATGCAGAATCAACACAGTAAAACAGACCTTTTGAGTGTGTGCAGGCACATTTGGCTCATTATTAGATCCTTCAGAAAAATACTGTGATTTTTCACATCGCTGAGGTACATCAGCTAGACCGAAGCACAGCACTTTCAACTCTTACCCTCTTCCTCATTCATTCATCCCCTCTTCTCGCACTGACTGACCTCGTACGAGTTGCCATGGTGATGGCCAAGCCCTAACCAGCCCCGCCCTCCCAGACCCACCTTTGCGCTTGCTCTCCGCAAACTCCCGGCGCGCCGACTCAATGTAGCGCTGCACCAGGGCCCGGATCACTTGCTGTCTGTAGGGCAACCGGCTTGCCCCCTCGTTTGGCATCCCGTTTGACTGCGGGGCACCGAACCGACAGCCTTAAAGCTCAACAGCCATCCACAGGTGACGAGCAAAACTAAAAAATGCCAATATCTGCTGTTCCTATCTGTAAGTCAAATACAGCAGGGTAGCCTGCAATAAAGTGTTAATTTCGCTATAAAATGTCATGGATTACATTTATTTAGCAGAGACTTTTATCAAAAGTAGGGAAAAAGTGAGAATGTAGGGTCAGTCAGTCCCTGGAGCGATTGGAGGTTAGGGGCCTTGCTCAGAAGCCCATTAGTGAAATCATTCTGTCGACACTGGGATTTGAACCAGCAACCACCATGATCTGAAGTACAGCATCTTAATCTGTACTCACGATGGAGGGGATGGGGGGGTAGTCCGGTGTCGTGTTGAAATCACAGCAGCAGCAGATCCTCCGGAAGATTCCTCTGGCATGAGAGACAGCAGAAATCAATCGCTGATCACCAATAATGACAATGTGACACAAGTGCCAGTAAAAATATTTCAACACTGAAGTATTTCCCAAAATACTCGGCACATTCTGTTTTCTATACCAATAAAATGATTTTCATGCCTGTTCAACCTACTCAGTACTGTTCTTTGAATGCTATTATGTACAGTTTGTGTGCTATTATTTCCCATAATCAATTTGCATGTTCTTTGCATGCTTTTGTGATGTTATCTGTTTCCATTTGTACTTCTTATTTTGTGGCCCATCTCATACATCAGTGGGACCTTCCTGGTTAAATAAAATATTCATTGAAATAATTGCATTGATGTCGATAAAACTATGCAAACAAAAAAAAACAGAAGAAAAATATCGTAATATATATTCCCTATATCAAGATTGTATACTTTGTAGGATCATGATCAACAGAATGACTTTGTTCTGTTAAACCATGCATTGAGCTGGGGAAATGTATTTGTTTGGACCGATTCTTTGCGCCCACCGTATCAGATAGAAGGTCGCCTTAGGAGAGGGGATGATGTTGAAGGGGACCGGCATGGTGAGACCTTCTCGAAAGTAATTGAGGTAGAGCTTGGAGCGGGCAAACTTCCACTCCACGTCCGCATCATCCTAAAGGGGGGAAGGGGGTGTAACTTCTGGATTCGGAAAAATCCATTTGTCTGCCACCCTCTCCCTAACAGCCTAGGGTGCCACGCAGAATCCCTCACCTCAATCTTCTGGAAGGAGTTGGTGATCATGGCGATCAGCATGTTGAGCAGCACAATGACAATGATCAGGGTGAAGATGCCATACAGCACCCGACCCACGAACTCGGCCACCACGAAGTCCGGCATGTCCACGTACTCCTGGTTCACCACTCCAAACATTGTCCAGAAGAGGAAGCGGAAGGTCTCGTTGAACCTGGAGAGGGAAATCAGCGGCCACAAGAGCTGGAAAACATCTTTGACTCAAAAGATGAAATTTTTTTTGATGAAAGATTTGTTTTTGTGAAAAACACATGATGAAGACAATATTTCAGTAAATTTAGTGGACCACTTCAATCCCGACAATGAGCCGATCAACTTCAGGAATTCAAGGGAGACATAGCCTCGTGATGAAGGCATGAAGAAGTGATGTCATACTGTCCAAGGCGTGGAGAGATGACATAGGGCACGTAGATGCTATTGATTCCACAGAGGAAGGCTGTCCCAATGATCATCAAGATGAACAGGAATCTTGGCAGGAAGGAAATAGATTTTTCAGAAAGCGGTCTCTTGCTTATGTGTACATTTCACTGAATAGCTTGGAATTTTCAATGTATTCCAGTTCTCGTCTCACCTCATCATGTCGTCGATCATTTTGCCGATGGAGATCTGCATCGTTCCCAGGGATTCTTGGGCTGGCAGGATGTAAGCCAGGCGTGTGAAACTCAGCATGCTGGTCACAGCAAACAGCACCTCCGCGACCAGCTGTGGGTCCTCCTGTCTCCACTCCTCACGGCCTGTAGGGGGCGATGGTAAACTGAGGCACAGCGTTCATAGGGCATCGGTGGGATAAAGTGGCTCTGGCTACAAATTCAATTCTATTTGGTAAAGTGTTAACTAACAGTGCAATCAGCACCCCAGTAAGTCAAACATGAAATTAATCTCTGACAGGACAGGAAAATCTGCTGGTTTCACTAAGAGTGCCATTTGTACTTCATACTTGTCTGGATGTGCTAGTAGTATGGTACGGTTACTCGGTATTTAGACGTCATTAGAGCTATTCATGTAAGGACATTTGTTGCTCATTATCTACACATGTATTGCTTGGAAATGAAAAGATTCCTGGACATACATTTATTCATTACTCATTGACTAATGGTGACTAGGGCTGGACTGGAATTTAAAATCGGTCCTAGACTTTGTGGTTCCTCATGGCCAGGTGGGATCCAGTTGGGCTGGAGTCCCTGACAAGCAAGTAGGGGCTCCCTATGATAATTGTTGCCTAGCTATAAATTTTGTATTTTTCCCAGCCCACATAGCCATCGGCCCACCCAGAAAATGCCCAGTGCGCCAGATGGCCAGTCCAGCCCTGATGGTGACCTGTTATCGGAAGATTGCCAGTTCAATCTCAAGGTTGGCAGGATGATATAACCATTGGGCCCTTGAGCAAGGCCCTTAACCCCAAGTGCTCTGTGAACACTGGCTGACCCAAATCTCTGATCCTCATGTTTTGGACAAAAGCTTCTGCTAAATTAAATAACAGTAAACTGTATATGCAATTTTGACAATGAACATTTATTGATGCAACCAAATTTGGCACTGTGGCTTTGGTTGGGCAATGACAGTGAAGTCAGGGGTCAGAGGTCATTGCAAGGCCCCATGGGAGCTTCTGCTACTCACCAGAATGTGTGAAGTAGGCACACTCTTGCAGGCGGTTGGGTTCCTGGCAAATGAAGTAGCCCTTGAGCACGATGACAACGCGCAAGGCAAAGGACGCCAGATACATGCTGAGGACCATCATGTCCAGGCAGTTCCACCAGTCCAGGAGGTAAGTGCGCAAGCCCTCAATCCACACCTCCTTACACTCAAACCAGAAGAAGCCTGCAGCATTGGGGGTTGGAGTCACACCAAGTCAGATCAGGGCTGGGGGGTTACTGTTCCCCCCCACTGGTTGTGCTCTGCAGTTCCACCTCACTCCTTCATTTCCCCACTCAACCTTAAATGTTTTTTCAACTAGGTTAGAAATTTTAAATTAGCCTTTAGTGTAGAACCATTTTATTGTGTTTGTATACAATGGCACTGTTGAATTCTTGAATCTGATTGGTCAGAAGGATGTTCTTTAGTTTTTTATAACCTCACAAGTAGTACCAGCCAGGGAAATCACAGCTGCAAATCGACATGCTGTTATGATCTTTGAGTCTAAAGAAGTAAGGATTAATGCAAAACAAGCTGTGTGTTATATGCAGGGGTATTGGACCTTGAGCGTGGGGGTGGGGGTGGGGGGATTAGGCACACAAAACTAATGGCTGCAAAGGCAAAGAACCACCACCTGATGCAAATACCACATTTATTGCACACTTGGCCTAGACCTGGGGTGGGCAGTCTTATCCAGAAAGGGCCGCTGTGTGTGCGGGGTTTCGCTGCAACTCCCTAATTAGATTACTAATTAGAGGACTGATTGGTTGAAGAGTCCTCACACCTGGGTTTGAACAGCTGACCTGCAGGTTATCCCAAAAACCTGTATACACACCGGTACACTTGCAGATAAGATTGGCCACCCCTGGCTTAGCCATTTTCACCTAAAGACATTATTTTCACGTTTGTGAGCTGAAATCGCATGAGATCATACAATGAGCTCATGGATACTTTATCCTCACCTTTTTTTTTCATTGCCATGGGTTTTGTAATTAAATGGTCAATCTCAAGCTAACGACTGGATTACGGTTTTAGCACGTCGTGCGTTAATCCTTAAATAGTAAAAGTTTTTTCACTGTACTAAGTTAAAGATACGCATCAGCTCAGACTCTCAGGCGGGAAACGGACTCACCCACCACCCACACCATGTGCAGGGAGTTGTGCAGCATGTTCTGGTGGCGTGAGGCGAACTCGGTCCGAAACATCTCCATGGCGATGGACTCGCACAGCAGCGTGATGAGGAACCAGAGGTAGGAAGCGGAGTGGAGCAGGAACTTGATCACGGGGATTTTCAGCGTCTTGCCGATCTGATACAGGCAACCAAGATCAACATGAGGTGGAGTGAATGCAACTTTTAATGAGACTTTTAATTGGACCTGGAGGAACAAAGAGGGAAAGAGGCCGGGGCCAGAGGGGCTGGGAGTGGTGACCGGACCACCGTCAGAAGCTCATATCAAGCTTTCCACTCATTTCCATCCAGCTCACTGCACAGTGAATTGAATTGTGTAGTTTGCTGCACAGAAAAGACTTCATATGAATACAGTTTTAATCCCTGAGGACAATAACTGTCCTGGTCTATTAGATTCTGTGCAACCAGCTGGACTGAGAGAACTCCTACACATTTAAATGATTCGAATATAACGCCGTCCCCCTCTTATGGATCTAGCCTTATGGTTCTAGTTCAACACCAAATTGACCCTCCAGCTGTCTACCTTGGACTTTGGGGCGAACCAGTAGATGAGGCAGAGGAACGGCATGGTGATGAAGATGGCGACGGACACAAAAAGCTTCCAGGCCGTCTTGCTGCCTTTCCAGCCTGAGAGGCTGCCACACCAGATGGAGGAGAGCACCTGCTGGCAGATGGGATGTGCCACAAACTAGAGAAGGACGGACAGATGGATGGATGGATGGATAGATAGATAGATAGACAGAGAAATTGTGTTAATTTAGAATCATGTCCTATGTTCTGCCCCTTTTGTATATTACAGTATGCTGAGACTAAAAATCTGACCCTCGGGGGAAAATAATTGCCCATCCAACTTTTAATTTGACCAAGACTCTGTCTCTAGCTAGTGTTTCACTGCCTTGGTTATTAACTGCTCTGAGTCACTGTGTAAATGTAGCACCACGGAACTCAGCAAGATGACGCTTCATCCCGGATGTACATATGCATATTGATCTCTTGAATCTTGAAAATTTTAAATACAAGTCAAAGATGCAATTATTCAAAGATTTCAAAGATTCAAAGATATTTTATTGTCAATTTACATTTTATGTGCAAGACATACATGGGAACCGAAATGCAGTTTCTGGCTCACTGGTGTGTGTGCCCTCCAATTAGAACTATAATTTGAATAGACATTCTATATAAAAGACAGATAACAAGACACAAGACAAACTGACAGGGCAAGTGACATATCGACAAAAAAGGCAGATGTGCAAATGGTAGCAATATATAAGGCAGATGTGCAAATGGTAACAATATATAAGGCAGATGTGCAAATGGTAACAATATATAAGGCAGATGTGCAAATGATAACAGTAGATAAGGCAGTTGTCACATTAGATATTTGAAAGATTCCCTTCCATTTGGGACAGTGGCATCTTCGCAAGCATTTAGGTGGGTGGGGGCCCCGTAGCCCCCACATGGCCCCAGCCTCACCTGTTTCTGGTTGTAGTTGACAGCCAGGCGGAGGCGGGCCAGATTGGGGATGCCCTCCTCGAAAGCCCGGCCATCCAGGCCGTCCTCGTCCTCGCTGTCGTCGTCGCAGTCGTTGAGGATGGTGGTGACCTCACTCTGGTTGCGGCACATTCCCAGGAGCTCCACAGCAAACTCCTGGCACAGCTCCTCCAGACTCAGGTACTGCGGCTGTAAGGATGTGTGTGTGTGTGTGGGGGGGGGGTGATTACCCTGGATTCATCTGAGCGTGGGGGGGTGATTACCCAGGATCCATCTGAGCAGTCTGCTTTCTGTTTTTAGTGTTTTAGGGCAGATACATGGGAGGGGTGTAGCTCAGTGGGTTAGGATGCTATGTGGTCAGAAGGTTGCTGGTTCAAACCTCATAGTTGGCTGAGTGACTTTACCAGCAGGCCCTTGAACAAGGCCCTTGATCCCCAATTGGTCCAGGAAGTGGTTGACCCTGATTTTTCAAATGTATGTGACATTGGATAAGTGGTTGCTAAATAAATAAATGTAGAAATTAATTATTGGGGGGCTGAGGAAGTTAGAGGGACTGAAGGATACCTTTGATACACCAGTGCGCTGTATTACAGCAGATTCACTGAGCTGAGGCTCAGATCCCTCACTTTGCCCCATAGTACACAATCATGCTGTGTGGTCACTATGGGGAAACATGTAACTTACCCAGGGGGGCAGTATGAAAGCAGGCTTGGAGACCCCTTCCATGTCACACCATGCTGGTGACTTTACCACACACATGCATGCAGATCATACTGAGGAAGGCCAGCAAGGAGCACAGCAGCTAAGGAACCAGACCTGAGGCACCTTCTTCTAAATCCATCTTTCTTATGACCACTCATTTATATTGTATATTTTTTGCAATTTTATTACATTCGGAATCACATACATTTTTTTGAGAAAGTAGGGTCAGTCCCTGGACAGTTAGGGTTAAAGGCCTTGCTCAGGAAGCCCAATGGTGAAATCTCTGCTAAGGCTCGGATTTGAACCAGCAACCTTCTAATCACAGGCACAGTGTACTAACCCACTGAGCCACACACCACCCTTATCTTTAACAGGGTCACAATGACCTTCAACATCCATCATGTCAGTGATACTGCACCAATACACACAGATAAATGCAAATAAAATATTGATGATGCTAAATCACTTTGTCAATGTATTGGATAAGAAGTAGGATGGATGGATGAATGGATGGATGGATGGATGGATGGATGGATGAATAGACGGATGGAAAAATCACTATGGATAGAACTGTCTATTAAGCCACTAAATAATTTAAATGCTGGTGTCCTTCATCACCGTGACCCTATACTGGATGGGTGATTACAGATGATAGATGGAAGGACGGTGTCATTCATTTTGATCCCCAGCCCTGCCTGGATAGTTAAATAAGTAATACTGCCCTGCTCTTTCATCTGAGATCCCGAAATAAATACAGCCAGGCGCTAATGATGCTGCCTCACCTTGAACTCGGGCTCCTTCTTGGAGAGCCTGCGCAGGTCCCTGCTGAGGCGGAACGCGCTGAGCATGGCGTCCTCGGAGGTGATGGAGAGGTAGGCTCGGCTGGCGATGCCGCGGTACGTGTTTATGCGCGACAGCGAGAACTTCAGCAGATCGTACTGCCGGCCGTTGCGGCACTCCAGGCAGGCGCAGGAGATGCTGTGCGGCCGTGGGATGACGTGGCCCTTGCGCGTCAGCATGGTGACGATGTCGTAGAGGTCCTTCTGGCAGGCCAGTGTCAGCGGCGTCACCCCGGGTGCGAACTGCGAGTCGTCGATGGAGTGGTCGAAGATGGCCAGCGAGAAGGAGCGCACGTCCACTTTGTTGTTGCCCACCCCCTTCTCCTGATCCAGCCGGTCCAGGAGCTTCTTGACCACCTGCGGCTGGTTGGTGTCCACCGCCACCAGCAGCGCCTCGTGGATCTGCCGGAAGTCGAACTTGACTCCCTGCAGCAGGGCATCTAAGGTGTCTTCCCTGCCCAGCCGGATAGCCAGATTCAGGGCCTCCCGCCACTGCCGGTCCTCGGAGTCGTCCAGCTGCCGGATGATGCCGTCGCCGATCTTCAGCAGGTCCGACACCATCACCGTGTTCCCCTCCTGGATGGCACCGATCAGCTCGGGAGGGAAATGCATCTTCCTGTTCATGATCTCCCGCCATTGCTCCGCCTAGCATGGAGAGATGATTTACGGCCGATTTCTGAGGATTTACCCAGGGCAGAAATTTAGCAGAAGATGCAGCTGAAACAGGACTAGTGAAGAGACAAGTGCCCAACATACAGTACCGTGGAAACGTCTTAGACAGTCAACGACATTGATGTTTGAAATCATCCATATATTGGGGGTAAAACCATGATGTCTGTCCAAGTGTGTCAGCTTAGCTATTTCAAAACCTCTCCTAATGTCAGCCCAGTTTTTGCAGCAACTGTCCAATTCACCAGTGTATGTTTTAACTTGACCACTAAATCACTTTGTTTGGCTAATCAATACCTAATTGAGTTAACTAAGGTAATTAATTCAGCTGGTGGTGAAATTTAATAAATATGTGGAATGGCTGAGGTGCCCCTGAGGAGAGGTTTGGGAACCAAAGTGGTGTCCATCTAGCCATCCAACAAAATATCAGTAACTTTCTGGTGAAGAGAAGAAATTTGTAATTTTAAAAATTGTATTACTATTATTTTCCATATGTTCCACTAAGTGCTGCTTTTTTCCTGAGCAAATATAAACTCAATACCCACATGATATTTTCTTCAACTGCCTAAGAGTTTTGCAAAGCACTATACATCTCCATTTTACAAGTTTTATTATTGTCAACCAACAGGTGTCTCTCAGATCCCCTTGGTATTTTCCTGAGGATGCATGAGCAGTGTGATTGCTTTTCCCGCTCTGTTTGATCCACTCCATCTCTCATCACAGACATCACAGCAGCAAAAGCAGTCCTTTGCCACAGCACACTGACCATCACCCACCCCTGAAAGCACACATCTTCCTCACCGTCAGATTCTGCATGTTCATCTTGCAAACAGGGAGCAGCAGCTTCAGAATCGGGATGGAGAATCGGGGAGATGGTCCTCAGGCTCTCACTAGAACCTCCTCAGGTGAGACATGAGACTTGGCTTCCAGAAAACACCCACCCCTGCCAGTGCAACCAGTAGCTCCTGCTGGCGTTTGAACAAGAGCTGAGACTTTTCCTGCACTACCTTCTCTCTGGCAGTCACCCCCCCACACCCTGCTCTGGGGTTTCTGCTGTTGCATCTGGAACCATGGACCATCAGAGACCAATGAGAGGCCTCCACCCTCGGGAATGGGCCAATCAAGCCACAACAGTTTCGAAAAATTTCACACCTCGTTTGACTCTTCGAGGGCTTGCCTCTCTCTCTCTCACACACACACACACACACACACACACACACACACACACACACACACACACACACACACACACACACACACCTGCTTGCAGTTACGTCCATAGTCATCTTGAAGGTTTGTGGAACAACAGGTCAAACGCAAGAATCGACAAAAAAAAAAACAAAAAACTGTTGGCCCTTATTAGCACAGATAATACAGGTAATCAAGACAGAAAATTAATTTTGGATGAAAGCTGCTGATGTATATAAAATGGAGAACAAAGAATGCGTGTACAGCACAAGACACAAAGGGTAAAAGTGAAAAAGATCAAAGTTTAATGCACAGCTGGAGAGAATCCCCTCCCAGGTCTCAGCATCTCATTATCAGTTTATTTTTTTGATGCCAATGAAAAATAAGTTCTATCTCCGGGATGAGGAGGCCATGATGAACCACACCTAGTGCCAAACAGCTGCTCCCTGGGCTTCCGGCAGTGCTGACACTGGGGGGGGGGTAATGTAAAAGTCAGTCCAGCCACTCCCACTGGGGCTGGTCCGGGTCGCCGCAGCTGCTGGCGTGCTGCTGGATCTGGCCCGGGGGAAACCGGAAGGAGCACAGTGGGCAGGGCACCAGGTCGACTTGGGGACTGAAGGAGGGGCTGGGGGGAGGGGTGGTGCTTGTTGCCATGGTACCCTGGGTCAATGGCCACTCCTCCTCTCCCTGGCACGAGGAGGCATGCATGGGCAGGTACTCACTGGTGAAATACCCTGACAGAGAGAGATCAAAACAGCCCATGTGAGGGAGGGACATCAACATTGCCACCTTACAGTGTTTCTTACGGCACCGGGTCACTTTTTCCAATGAAATCTGGTCAGTGGTTCTGCTGGGACTCAACCAAACCACCTTAAGGCTCAAAGTTCAAATGCTAACTGACTGTCCCCTTGACTCTGCTCACTCAAAAACACTTAAAACACAATCACCTCCACATAAAGGGCAGGTTGTCTCCGGAGCCTCGCCTTCTCCACATTCAGTCTGTGAACAGGCGGGGGTTCCGCTGGCACTGGAGCCTGCTGGGACGGATCCCGTGCGGGCCGCTGCCCTGCCCTTCTTCGTGGAGGGAGGGGCGTGGGTGTGAGCGGGCCTGGTGGGAGAACGGGGGAACAGAACAATCCAAGCTGTGAATTCTGTGAAAGACTTTTCAGAACGTATTTCAGGATCGTGCCCCCAGCCCTCAGCTTCGGACCTGTTACACATCTTGATGGGAGAATTTAGAGAAACTCCTACAACACTGAACAGGATCAATGGCGGGAAAATGGATGGATGGATGGATGGATTTTCAAAGCCGGCCTAGTGGTTTACCTTTTTTTAGTAACTGACTTCCTTTCCAAGTGTCTCCTGGTCTGTTTCTCACTGGTCTTGGGCACATTATCTGTTAAGGATGGGGGAGGTCTTTTTACCATCATTATTTAATAATAAATTGACAGTAATAATTCAAATATCCCCATGCACCATTGTTGCCACTTTAATATACAGCACATACAGGTGGGATATGGATGGAACCTGTTTTGTAAAACAATGTACTCAGTTATTACCATGGTAACAGCCGGCCCACTGTTCCAGCAGCACCCCAGTTTCCCAGCACCACAAGCGGTACTTACCCCCGCAGCTGGACTGGTCCACATCGCTGGTCTGGCTCTGCGGATGGGCCTGCGGCTTGGGGAGCAGGTGTTTGGAGGATGCGGTCGCCGTGACGACCATGCGGGCCATGCGGCTCAGCCCTGCCCCGGGTTTCCGGGCCCCCTTTTCTGAAACAGCCTCCCTGGAGATGCGATATACCTGCCCGTTTACCCTCTTTCCCAGCATAAGGACTGAGAAGCCCCGCTGACCAGCCAGCAAGCATCCAATAATATGCAATTGGTTGGTTCATTAACCCTTGACCGTCTTGTGATCCACACGTCCTCTGAAATGCTCCTCTTGCTCTAACTACAGTGCCAGCAGACTGAAATGAACTATTTCAATATTGTTTCTACCGGCACTGCATATGAATGGTTGCAAACCTCTGGTTTATTTACTGTCAGCTGTTCTTGTACTGGGACTGGCTGACCGAGTAAGTCTTCCAACGTACATGCTGCATGCGGCCAGTCAAACATCTTAAATCCTGAAATGCTTGAAGTGCATCTCACCCTGTTGTCCGTCCAAAGAAGGTCCTTTGCACTGCTGGGCTGGACAGCCACTCTCTCACTTTTGACGTCACCTGCTCTGGGGTTTTCTGTGCCGGGGGGGGGGGCAGGTCAGCAAGTTACACATCAAGGGGCACACAAGTTTAAAAACCTGACAGCAACATTCCTAAGTGCCATTATGTGAAAAATAATAATACTAAAATCATCCAAAAGATGGTATACTATTGTCATAATAATGACATCTGCACTGTCTGTTTGTGGGTATAAAACCTCCAATTATTTAGTTTTTAAATATTTACGGTTTACTAAGATTACAGTTGTTAAATACTCATCCTAGCTTGTATGTTGCTTTGGACAAACCCATCTGCTAACCAAATGTAATTTGAGACTCAGTGTAAACACAGAGACCGCACAAACCTCTTAGGCAGACATACAAAAAAGTGATGATAATGATGAAATACTAAGTGGGTGTGTGCAAGTGGTTCTCCCAATCATAACATCCCCCTCCCTTTACTAACCGATTCCACGTTGTCTGTGGGCTCTGTGTCTACCAGGCAGGTGCGGATGTGCAGAAAAGACAAACCGAACTGGGCATGCCTATTGAAGGGCTGGTGACAGGTCACACGCACTCTGTCCCAAGGTGCCTCCCTCCCGGCAGAGAGGAAGTCATCTGGAGGAGAGAGAGACACAAAAAAATGGTGACACTGACCAGCAAAACAGTGACGGATACTTTTCTGTTTTGAAAACGAAACCCCTTTCGTCAAGCGCAACATGTACAGGCAGATCAATGCTGACATGTCCAGTGTTTTAGATAATAAAAAATTTTGAAAGACTGCCACATCGTCCGGCTGACCTTTCTTGAACATCCGCACCCCTGTCCTCCCAGTGCCCTGCCTAGAATCTCCAGGGCTCATCAGTGTCGCCGTGGGTAGCAGCGTGACATATGGATGGTCCACAGGCCAGGAGGAACGGCCCACGTCTATCTGAATGAAGGCAGAGCCGCAGTTACCTGTCAGAGGGAAAGAGGAACACCATATACTATATACCATGGGTGTAAATTATGGGGGGTGGATGGGTTAACCCCTCATAAATAGGTGGAGACCTCACCCCGCCCCCCATGCTCAACCCAAAATTATGCCCTTGCTATGGACATTAAAATGGGATAAGCCAAAGAGGGTCAATTTACAACGAAACAGAACACGGAAGTGGAAGGACCGCTCACCCACGTCAATGTAGCCAATCACTGCAGCGCGGACTAACTGGAGCTCCGCCTTCATCATGCCGCTCCGGTCCTGCGCGCTGCACAGCCAGGGTCTCGGGGAATCTGATTCGGCACACAGATTCTCCACGCCGTTTTTCGAGTCCTGCGACGCCATGCATTTATTGGGTTACATCACTATATGGAATTTGACATTCCAGAGCAGATTTAAACTTTGTTTTATCTTCATCCATCTGTCAGCACAGGTTTCACTGGAACAGAGAGGCTCACTGGTCGGGTGGGCCTGCCCCCCCTTTCAGTGTTCACAGCGAGAATATGGAGCTATGGAGTCTGTGATTTTGTTGCCAGGTTTATTGTTATGGTACTGGACCATGTGATTTTTTTTTGCCGGCCCACCCACGCGATGATTTCTGTCTAGGCTACTGGAAATGAGCAATTACTGAAAGTAAAATAGACAGTTTGTAAAGGCAAATTCCTGTGAGTTAGATTGGAAAAGTAACGAGTCCGGTCATTAATGCAATTAATATGAATTTAGTACAACATTTTCTGGTAACAGTACTTATATTGGCTTGAATATAAGTAAAAATAAATAAAACCGCTTTAGCCGCTGAACAGATTAGCACAGTTATAACAATCAGTGACATACCTGAGAGGTGAATGAAACAACGTATTTAATATTTACAGGAGCCATGAATGTACATCAAGACACCATCAATCTGTCAAACTAGTGAGCCGATCTGCACAAACCGTTGTTTCGACTTTCCGGGCCACAGCATAACTTGTAAGAAAACAATGAAACATTACTGTAATTCAGTCTGCCCGACGTTTGGAATGACTACAGGATACAGACATTTTCCATTTTCCCGCCGCTGGCTGAAGTACACGCCCCATATATTCCGCGTAACGAGCCTTATGGGAAATGTAGTTAGGATTACAAGTACACCGGGCTTTCATTTAATTAAACAGATTATACAAATGTCATTTTGCAGAAGGCGACCAAATATTTCTATTTGCTACACAGAGCAATTGTGCGTATTTTATTTTTAATTCAAGTAATTAAATTTGATTTAGGTATTTTTAATTCAAGTAATTAAATTTGATTTAGGTTTTAAAGTTCGGGTAGCCTACTTAGTGACATTGTATGATTTTGCATGTATCGTGTCCTGCGATTGTCTGCCGTCCACGGTGTTTCCCAGTTTCCTGCCTCCAGTTGTATCAGATATCTTTGGGGGCATCGCCCATCCGCAGCCCCGTCTCTGGGTTGGAAGCTGTTTACTCGTGCTTGTGTCTCAACACTGTAACGTTATTTTTATTTTTTCCCTCTTACATGGTGTGACTACAAGCCGCAGCACAGTACAGCTCATTAGCCTGGTTGACCCCCTTTGTTTACGTTTCTTACCTTTTTTATTTTCACTATTTCAGTGTTACATCCATTTTCATACTAATTATAACAACTTGAGTGCAGACAAGATGGGGCATAAATGATAATGATGAAAATAACATGATATTCAGTCAGAAACATTTTTTATTATACCAAAAGGGAGAAATTATTTTCTTTTGCTTCTTCTCTGCCATCCAACATACGCAGATAAGCTAAATAGTGTCTTTAATTGCCCCCAGTTCATCATTTGTGTGCGCGCGTCTGCTTCCTGTGATGGAGCGACATTCCGTACAGGGTGTACTCCAGCCTAGTGCCCTCTGCTGCTTGGGGTATGCCCCCCATTCACAAGACCAAGACAAGCAGTTAGAAGATGGATGGATGGATTTCTGTTAATCCACAGAAGCTTAATTTCCAAATCATCTGGGCTTGCTGATGAAAGTTATTTAAATATCTTAAGCGTAATTACAATTCATGAAAGGGCACTGATTTTGCTAAATACACTACTGAGAGTTAAAAACCGGCTTCGTTAACTGCTGTAGGTCGACGTCGACGCGTTAAAAAACGGAAGAGATCTAGGTGGCGTCGTTTTTTATTGGTCGACGCGTCGAGCAACCCGGAAGTTGCCGGCGTGGGGAATGCGTCGTCAGTGCTCCCGAAGATGGCGGGGGTGTTTGAGGTGGAGGTTGACGGTGTAGAACACGACCATGGACACGGGCACCACGACGAAGCACAGCAGGTCAGGTCTTCCCGGTGGCCGTAGCCCGCCAAGGAATTGTAGGAGAGGCCTGTATGTCGGAATCCTGCACGTTACAGGATGCTATGTAGCTAGGTTGCTAACAAGCTAACCACTACTGACAGACAGTCTAGCTAGCCGGCTAAAAGGCAATTGTATTGATTTAGGTTTTATCAAAACGCACGGATTGTATCACAAACACGTCAGATAAATGCATACCGCCAGTAGCACTCCGGTTTAAGACTTGCTGCTTATTTGATGCGGTGCAGTGCTGAACTATAGCAGTATATCGATACCCCTCTATGAACTACTGGGTAACGTTACGGTTAGTTAAATGTCCTGCAGTTAACCACTGCACATTATCACAGATAGTGAGATGTAACGTGATAAGCCCGGAGTCGGTCAATCATGTGGCATCTACTTATGCAGTATTATTAGAGCAAATTAGTTTACATTATTTTCCAATTATGTATTTGCTACCTGGCTGGCAGCTTAGGCATGTGGACTTGGGGAAGGGGATGCACCTTTTGGCCAGTTAACATTTAGAGTGCATCAGAATCACCCTCTTTGGATAATACTGGCGTCGGGTGTGTAAAAACCGAAACGTCGACGTACGCTGCACTTATGGGATCTTAGCTGTTTGCTGGGTGATGTGGAACCAGTGTCAAAGGTCCAGTCAGACAGGAGCGACTCACAGTTTGCTGGAGACGGGTGTGTCGCAGTCGTTGCAGGGGAACTTGAGGAAGTCCGGGGTCCTGGATATGCCTTCGCAGTCACCAGGAGGCGTTGTGCATGTCTTGTAGATGCGTCTTCGTTTCCAGGTTTTATTCAGTAATGTGAAGGAAATAATTGCTTTGTGATATGGCATGCTTGACTTGGCAATTTCAAATTTTTCGTTTGTCCATAGAATTTGCAAGTTGAAGCTTAGCATCCATGGATCTGTGTAATATTGGTGAATAAGGTTTTGTTTGTATTTTGCCTCATTTATAAATACCAATCTTTGATCCCTATCCAGATTGATTTGTCCCAACTGTCGGCAGAGGAGAAGTGGAGGTTAGTGTGCTTGGCGACCATGTTTCCCATCCGACTATCTGCCGTCTTTTGTTGCCCGCAGCTGCCGATGGCACTTCCTGTAGCGTCCTCTGCCGTTCAGTCCACCGCACCCAAGGTTCATGCTGAGCCTTTCTTTTGTACCGCAGGTTGGAGCATGCCAGGATGCACGCCAAGCACAAGGGCCACGAGGCCATGCACGCGGAGATGGTGCTCATCCTCATTGTCACCCTCGTCCTCGCCCAACTCCTCTTGGTGCAGTGGAAGCAGAGGCACAACAAGTCCTATAATGTGAGTTCACATGCTCACATTCTTATTCACGTTTTTGCCTTGTTATACAGTTGGATGTCTGATTGGAGCAGAAGTGGTGCCTGGATCATGAGGCAGGATTTCTTGCATAGCCAGATAACTTGTCAGATTTAAGGTACCCCAGTTTAAATGGACTTTTTGTTCACTTTAGCTCAGACCACCTTAAATCCAATAAGTCATGTGAGAAGTCTGGCTTTGTGATACAGGCCCCAGGCTAAGCACCTGCTTAACAATATGAATGGGACCAGCTAATGTAGTGTGTCCTTGTTAGGGCTGGGCGATATCATATCGATATTATATTGCGCATGCTCAATAATCACCAGGGCTTCAGATGACAGACGAAGCATTTGGCCGGACGCCAGCTTTTCGTTGCTATACGGGCATTTATTTATGCCCATAATTTGGTAAGATTAGTAGTATGGCTTAAATATTAATGAGATGTGTTTTGTGACACCCAAAAGTTAGTAATCTGTATAAACTTTATGTTTCTTAAGTTCGATTAGCGGAGCACACCACATTATACTGTTTTGGTATACTACGGTTTGGTATACTACAGTTTGGTATACTTCAGTGCAACATGCACTGAAGTCGTGGTGAAGAAAAGCAGCCACAACATCTTTTAAAAGAGGAGATCTTCTGGGTAAACAAGGTAAAAAGACGTCAGAGATGTGGTGGAACTTTTTGTAGTTCAAAGTCTGACGCATTTATTAAACATAAGGATATGCCGTATTTATACTAATAATGACTTTTGGACGTCATACAAAGCCTCATCAATATTTTAGCCATACTACTAAACTGCCTAACAAATTGTGGGCGTAAATAAATGTCCGTATAGCACCGAAAAGCTGGCGCTTGGCCAAATGTTGCCCCTCTCATCTGAAGCCCTGGTGATTATTTCACATGCACGATGCAATATTGATATATCGCCCAGCCCTAGTTCTTGTATTCCAAAGGTTGCTGGTTCCAGTCCCATGCTAAGGTCGAGTTAAATCTCCACCAGTACAAATTGATAAATACATAGTAACCGAAAATGTTTGCAGAGTAACTGTGACTCTCCGCCATGTCAGACTTGCCCCTTCTTTCTAACACAAAACAAGGCCTAAGTATTTGTCCCACCTCTGTTTGCTTTTCACGCTACACTCTGCACTCTTTTTATTTTTTGTCTGTTCAAAACTTTACAATCTAATCTTGTTTTCAGACTTGTAATGGGCGTTTTGTTTGTGTGTATTATGTGCTTTTGTAGTGTTTTTTTCCTTGCATTTTTGTCATTGTTCACTAGGGGGTGCTCATTCTCTGCTAAAATGAGTTGCCGGCAGTCTCTCGGCTTTGAAGATGACTGGAAATGTGCCTGGCTGATTTTGTCATGTGACTAAAGCAGGATTCCCCCAAATATTCATGTCAGGCCGTCTGAAGTTAACTTGCAGGTCTGGTCAGTGCCGTTAGCTCTTGTCTGAAGGATTGAAAGTACTGCAGGCATATAACACATATACAGTTAAAAAAAACAGAAAATTGTCAGAATCATTGTATTTAACCAGTCAGGCTTATCAAAGCATTGCAAAGGTCTCTGATGCTAAACAGAAATGCTTAGTACGGTAAGTACAGAAATACAGTAGTATGTCTGGTGTTTTTACTATAATCAATTTAATAGGCAGTCTGGTTTTTTGGTCACATGACTTTTCTCAGCTTTTCCTCAGTCACTGTAGGCATTCGGTGTTCAGCGAATGTTCCATTATGGGCACTAACCGAAGAGTTGTTTTCCTGAGCTGGTTCTTGATGTTACGAGCATGTAGAGTGAAAGGCATCTCCTCAGCAACGGTGTCCATGGTCCAAGGAGTATGTCGGTCGACTTTCGGGCCACCCATAGACGTATAGTCTGTTATGAGATGGTGGTCAAAGGAACAGTAGGACTGTATAATGTCATCCGCATTTCCCAATCCAATTCTCACGGATCTGCAGATGGTCCATTTTTGCTCCCTACTTGGAGCTTGGAGGGAGCAAAAACATCGACTGTCTGGGGTCCCCGAGGACCAGTTTGTGAAGCACTGATCTGACCACTGGTTCTCAACTGGTTTGGCCATAGGACCCACATTTTTCCTGAATTAAGTCATGACTTAATGCTGTTCACTTGGGGGGGGGAGGGGTGACGGAAGGCAATTCTAAAAGGTGTCATTGTGGGGTGGAAGTTGCCTATATATATATATATATATATATATATATATATATATATATATATATATATATATATATATATATATAGGCAACTTCCACCCCACAATGACACCTTTTAGAATTGCCTTCCGTTTATATATATAAAATTATTATTATTTTTATTTTTTTAACAAACCACACACTCTGTCATCCACTAAAAATAGTCCCATGACCCAAACCTGTTGAGAAACACTGATATAGACGAGCCATTGACAAACCGTAATGTTTCACATGACTTCTAAACCCGCACGCTTGAACATGTCACATGAGTCAGCATGCATAAATGTCACTGCGGTGTAATGGATTTACTGAGTGTTCTCGCCGACTGAGTGGGCGCTAAACTGGATTGACAGACGTGCTTAAATGATGCTTCGAAATGGACTCTTTCTGAAGAGGTCTTCTGTCCCTGTGTTCCGCCACAGTTGGTGACTCTGTTCCAGATGTGGGTGGTGCCCCTCTACTTCACCACCAAACTTCACTGGTGGCGGTTCCTCATCACGTGGTTCATCTTCTCGGCCATCACCGCCTTCGTGACGTTCCGCGCCACGCGGAAGCCATTGGAGTGTACCACTCCTCGGTAGACGGTCGGCTGCATCTTCCACATGCGTAGTGCCATCTTCTGTTTTATCTTCCACCAGTAATGTGGCTTATCCTACCCCCCCCCCCCCCCCCAGGCTGGTTTACAAATGGTTCCTGCTCCTCTACAAGTTGAGCTACACGACCGGCATCGTGGGATACACCGTCGTCATGTTTACTCTGTTTGGCATTAATTTGATATTTAGGTGAGCTGGGGGCCGTGGTCTTGTTGAATATTGGGCTTTCTGGGGGCATGTGGGGAGGAAGATCCCAACTTTAATGTTAATCTAATAAAATCTGTATCATCCTCTCTGCTTTGGCTACAAGTTTGATGAAGCCATCATTGGTCCTCTTATGCGGGTGGTTTCTTTGAAGGCTGCTTCTGTAATGAAGGCTGAGCTTGTTGATTTAATGAAGCAAGTTTCAGGTTATTGGGCCTGCATGCACTCTGATGCTCCAATGCAGAATGCATTCACCAAACACCCCTGCCCCCCCCTGCCCTCCCCCCGCCCTGGTGCCTGGGATTTGCTAATGTTTTGCATCTCAAATTGTTTCCCTTCAATTCACTAATTTTATCGGCAATTATTTCAGAATATCTGAATAGTGCTGCTTTCAAAAACACGGTGAAAATATCATATAATGTCTGCATGGTATGAAATTAGATACCAGCCAAGCCTGAATTTGGGTTTATTACTCAGTCAGGATCCCACTTCCTCTTTCAGGTTCTCTAAAATGTTTTGTCATCTGTTTCCTGTGTTTCCCCCTCACGTTTCTGTCTTCCCTTAGAATAAAGCCGGAAGATGCCATGGATTTTGGGGTGTCCCTTCTCTTCTATGGCCTCTACTATGGTGTACTGGGCCGTGACTTTGCCGAAATGTGTGCAGATTTCATGGCCTCCACTGTCGGGGTGAGCTCCGGACTGGACCCCCCCTTGCTTACATGCGTTTAGCCAGGGGGGGGGTATCCACCTGTGTTCGCCAGCTGCCCTTAGCACACTGTTTCCTGTTCCTTAGTACTACAGTGCCTCTGGGATGCCCACCAAACATCTGTCGGACAGCATCTGCGCCGTGTGCGGCCAGCCTATTCTGGTGGACGTCAGCGAGGAAGGAATCATCGAGAACACCTACAGGCTGTCCTGCAATCACGTGTATCCTGAAGATGTGTGGGGGGGGGGACTGATCAGATTTTCGGACAAATCACGCCAAAATTGAAGCAGTGTCAATTAGTAGTGGCACAGGAAAGGACAGTCAAGTCCTTTGTATGAAATTAGACATACAAAGTTTGGCTTTTGAATACTTGTTTTGGTGAGGAGAGTGTGTAGGGGGTTAGAGATTGTAGCGGTTGGGGGTGTGGGAAGAGCAGGGAGTGAAGGCAGGGGAGGGGGTGATGTGGCTGTCCAGGGAATACATAGTTGTCGTTCTGATTGCACCTGGTTTTCTCTGAAGATTTATTTTGCTACTATGGTAGCCCATCATGTGTGTAAATGACCTTTTATTCCAGGAACTTAAATATCAGACATTCCTTTTTTGGGCTTGCCCTTGTCTCATTGAGTGAGAATGCATCAGATTTAGGCATGGCCTCATATAAGTGTCACAGAAACTTCCCAAGATAACTCGCTTATTCTGGTCATCAGATCTTTGTTTGGCTGATTACATTGAACTCCTGTGACATAGGTCTGACGGGGTGGAATTACTACAACTTTTCAGAACATAAGAATGTGTGTCAACTTCTCTTGTGATTTAGGGAAAGACCTGCTGTGTTTAGGGAAATGAAGCCTAGTGACTTGCGTATGACCATTGACAAAGCCATGCAGATGGTAGTATTGTAGTCCTCTTTACCCCTGCTGCTGTTGCTGCTTTTTTGTTTCCTTGACATTTCCTATACAGATTCCATGAGTTCTGCATACGAGGCTGGTGCATTGTGGGGAAGAAACAAACCTGTCCATACTGTAAGGAGAAGGTGGACCTGAAGAGGATGTTCAGTAACCCGTATCCTTTAGCTAATGTGCCTTCGGTATATCGGTCACATGGCTTCGGGCTCTGTGGTCTGCTCTTAGAGGCCGCACCTTATTTTCTGGCCCCGTTATGAGGCTTGTCTTGCAGAAATGCTAACTAAGCTTTTAGCGTAGGGGTTTTCTCATGCTGTCTTATGCTACAGTTAGTGTGGTTTATACTGCTTTTCAGGCAGTTTTAGGGACAACCCCGAAACTCTTTCTCATGTTGTTAGAGACTGAAGGATGTAAGAACAAAACTATTGACATGACATTTTAATGTCAATGGAAATAATTACATTGTACTTTTGAAACAGGTGTTTTATATATTTAAACTACCACGCTAAGGCATATTATAGTGAGGTGAGAACCTGTCTAGTTGCAAACTAGCCCTAAGAATATCTCTGCTCATATATCTATTGGAGTGTTTGCAAATCTGATGCTGATTATGGGATTAATTCTGAAGTTAATCTATGCTTGGCCTTTATTATTTTAAATAGTATACATGTAATTAGTATACATGTGTTCCGGAAGTCATCATGGGAATGGTATCTAGGGAATATATGATTCCTCTGTCAGCCTCCTGTAAAGACCGTGGTGGAAAGGATGTGAATTTTTATCTGTAAAATACAGGTGTGTAACGGTATGCAAAATTCATGTTTCGATAAATGGTTTGGTGCAATTTCAGTACAGCAGGGAAAACAAAATCAACACGTTTCAGTAACAGAACCTAGGAGGCGCTTATGAAATTAATAAAATTAAAAAAATATGACTGCATCATAAGTCAATGAACTAAATCCTGTGATCTCTCAGTACAGGAATTGTTGCATATCTGTAACGATTAACATCCCATAGCTTCTGCTGCTGCTTATTATTATTATTATTATTAGCCATGTCTGAATATCCTGGCAGAAAGAGCCTCTGCAAGTTAGACGCCCAAATTAGATCATTTTATCTTATACTAATATGCAACGACAATAAAAAAAGACCTAATAGAATCTAATCTAAGCGCCTTAAACTAACTTGCAGAGGCTGTTTCATCTTAGCTTAGGTCGAACACACATTTGGATGATTATATGGTAACACTTTACTATAGGCTATGTCTATAGTAATTTATGAACACATTCATAACAGTTAATGCATTCATAGAGCATTATTGACTATAAATATTCATCCAAAGGCATAACATATAGCCATGTTTATGCATTATAAATGCTTTATGAAGCTCTAGTCTATAATGCACTATAGATACCTTCATAATGCATTATAATGATCGGTATAAGCATTACGGATGCTTTGTACTGCATCATAAAGGTATTTATAGTGCGTTACAGATGAGAGGTTCATAAAGCATCCATAATGCATAATACCACATGGTTATAATGTGTTATGCCTTCATATTAATATTTATATAATGCTTTGTAATGTGTTTATAAATAACTAAATAGATAACCTTAAGTAAAGTGTTACCGATTATAGTTTCCAGTCAGTTATGTTGGATCATCAACATATGTGAGTTCGGTATAACAGAGCTAACTGACAGGCTTGGACCATGGATCCAGTGTTGGTGTAATTTATTGGGAAACTAAAATGTTCCCAAATTGCGGATTATGACTGATTACAACTAACATTTCCAGTGTGGAGCATCAGCTTGTGAAATTTATTCCTTCATTTCATTATGCATTCTGAACCAAGAATGATGTAACCGAACGACACCCGATGAGAACCGGTACCGTTACAGGTCTAGGAGAAAAATACACACTTCTTTAAAAAGTGGATGGAGAATTGGCTCCATATGCAAAGCACAGCTGTTTCTTTGTTGGTTGACTTGTTTACTGTGTTTCCTCTTTAACACGGAGCACTGAGTGTTTGTGGGGGCCAGGGGGTAGCGGGCAGGAGGTATCTGGTAAGGTTGTGATTCGCAGATGTGCGTTAGAGATTTTATTTATGTGATGTTGGTGTAGTGTAGGGAAGCTTCCGGGCAGGAACTCTAAACCACAGCTTTTAGATAGAGAATGTAGACTTTCAGTTGCTTAGCAAATGGAATAGGCAGAGTGTAGACAGTCATTTCCACCATTGGGCCTCTGGACCAGGCCATTAATCCCCAGCTGCTTCAAACATTTTCTGACCCTTCCTTCTCTGAAATGTACGTCATGACGTTGGATGAAAGTGTGCTAAATAGGTTAAATGTAAATGTTACTTCTCTATATGGCCAAAAATTGCCCAGCATCTAATTCCAAAACCAAGGGTACTGATGTGAGGTTGGATGTTCTGGGACGGCTTTCCAGTAGCTGTTAAAACGTTGCTGGTGGTACTTGCTGTCATTCAGGTTGGGTGGTGATGTTGGGTAACCAGGTGCCTTTCTGTGAGCCTGTGTGGCCGACCGCTTGGCGACCTGAGCTCACTCCTAGACATTGCTGCTTCTCTGCCGCTTCACTTGCAACTGCGCATGGCAGAAATCTGGCGAGCTGATTTGTGGGATAGATGGAATCCTGTGATAAAACTAATGTGAAAGTCACTTACCTCTCCAGTACAACCAGGCAGTTTGCCGCTAGTCTTTGATGCTGAAGATCGAATGACTGTGAGCTTAATGATACACCTGTGTCAACTAGGTGTGTCAACTAGGTGTGTCAACTAGGTGTGTCAACTAGGTGTCAACTAGGTGTGCCTACAGACTCCATATAGTGTATAACTGCCCGGTGTGAAATCTGTATCTCTTGTGATTACTGAAATACAGAATGCTCAATGAAATTAATTTATGCTAAACCATAATACAAGTTATGTTTAATCTGAATTTCCCCCCCTTTAGTTTAGTTCCTGAGTTAATTAAGCAAATATCCAAGCATTTTTAGAGTCTGGATCAAGCTCTGGGTGGGAAATGTCTCAGCCCACCCAGATTGTCGATGGAGAGCTTGACAGGAGCGTCAGCGCTATTCACCTCCATCGCGTTTCGTGAGAAACAGAGAGCAAGGTGGTTTTGGCGTGGAAGTGTAAGGGCAGCCGTGGGCTGAAGGTGCACACTTTGCTGCAACGTTGGTTTGTGAAGAAGGTAAAACTTATAGATCTCGAAACCAATGCAAATGTCACTCTGAATTAGCAGTTTCCCGTTACCCCCCTTTTTTTTAAAAGTGCATTTTTTTAAAAAGGTAATGGATGAAGCGTGAAAGATTTCCGATTTTGCAATGTGGGTTTGCTGGACTCTGTGAATGGCTTTATTCCATTTATCGTTAACTCTGAGTTGCATTCTTAGCATGTGGCTGAATGACTGTGTAATAAAGAAACTGTGTACAGTACAGTCATTTGGTATATTCTGATCTGTTGAAGTACTCTTGCAAGACAGATCCCATCAGCTGGTTTCTGGTGAGGGTTTCTATCACTTAACTGATCTGAATTTACTGGTGTTAGTCGACATAGTCACCAGTACACACATGACTAACAGGCCGCTTTGCTGTCAGCCCATCGTTAGTATTTTGGAAATGATGGGATTGAAGCAGAATTTCCAGCAGACAGCATAACACGAGGTGCTGTATGTCTGATTAAAGATACAGAGATCATAAAGATAGAAAAAAAGCAAATTTAAACTATTTGAAAACCCTGAGAATGTGAAAATTACTGTGAAATGCAGGTTTAACGTTTTGAGGTTTTTTTTTTTTTTCTCTCGATTAGTAGTAGTCAGTCTCACCTTTTGACTAATTGATAGATACAAGCCCCTCATGAAAATAAATGGATGTTTTACTTTGTTGTTGGAATCGTGCCTGGAGCTTTGGACCTAATAGTGGTTAAATCGCAGAGCAGGGATGAATTGTACCGCGGTTCGTACACAGGAGCAGTGCTGCTTGGCGCTGGGCAGCTGCACGTATTTACCTGAACATTTGAGGTGCCGTCATCTTACCGCAGTCGGTTTGTGTGTGTGCATGTTATGCTGTATCTGTAAACTGGCGCCATGAAACACTCAACATGAGTTTAAGTAAAACTCATACATTTCATAATACTGTATCCCTCATTATAATGGCATGAGGCATTAGATGCGTCCTGCGTCTAGCTGAGTGAGAAGGCACTGGCTCCCCTCACCACAGTTTCTTTAGGCTCTAAGAAAGCAGCGGAGTTCTTAATGTTTTCCCTTGACGCCAATCATTCAGCTGGGAGCGGCCGCATGTCATGTACGGACAGCTATTGGACTGGCTTCGCTATCTTGTTGCCTGGCAACCTGTGATCATTGGCCTAGTGCAAGGAATCAACTACATCCTTGGACTGGAGTGACATTGTACATTCTGGGCGCGGACCGTGGAAGAAGTCACAGGCGGGTCAACAGACTCGACTGGGAAGCTAGAACATTAACATGTGAAACTTCAACACATGGATATATACATGTATACATATACATACGTATGTATGTTCATGTGTGTGTCTGTTATGTATGTATGTGTATATATCTATATAACAAAGGGATGTGCTAATCTGTATTTAAAAAAAAAAAAAAAAATGTATAAAATTTACCAGCAATCTGGGATTGAGAGTACATATTTCTTTATACATTTTTTGTGTAAATGAACTGGACAGATAAGTCAGTGGTTTCATGAGAAGTAATTGATTTGATTTTTAATCGTGTCTTTATTTCCTCCGAAATAACATCACTCCTCCATTTGGGAACAGGATTTCTGTTCAGGATCCAGTGTTTCCAGCTAGTTTCTGTGTTTTTCCTACCCAATAGACTGCAGATCCAGTCATGAGGATGTTGGACGAAAATGGGAAACACTCTGGATGGGCTTTATCCACTTAGGAAACCTGCCCCCTGTATGTCAGTGGTCCTGTTCAAATTAAACTGCCCACGCACTGAAGTAGCAGCAGTGTATGAAATATCTCTTACTGTATTTCCCCCATAAATGCTTTGTCCCTAAGAACTTGTAGGGAACTAGGATGATATGTGGCTGGTTCCGGTTTGTATTTTTTATTTTACCCATTTCTGTATAACTTGCGTGTGTACGAGTGCGTGTGCACATTGGCTGTTGAGACTTTTAATATTTTATGACTTAATGTCTGGCAACGTATGATTAGGCCTGGCGTATTTCAAACCTTTACAGCACGTTTTTAAAATGCGGCTGCTTTTGATTCGATCTTTATTAACCATAATTTTCCTTTTTCCCTACTGTTGGATGTTTATGTGGAGTGCGACGGCTGGGGCTGTTTAGGGTTTATAGGCTTTACAAAACACTAATTCAGTTACAATGGTTAATTTATTAAGAAAAGTGAAAGTGTAGATTGAAAAAATACATTTTGAAATGCACCATGCCTAGATGTATGAAATGTTATTTATGATTCTTTAGTTGTTGGAAGCTCACCTGTCCAAATCGGTGAAGGTTCCTGAGGTACCATGTCAAACATTTTGGGGGAAAAAGTATTAAACATATATTGATACAACTCATTCTCTGCTGGTCATTTACTATTGCCCTTTAAAATTTTGCCTTTGTTCATTTATAAGGTTGACTTTTTTCTGAGTAATTTCATGGTGACAACGTTGCATAAAGGCGCAACCGCAATACTACTATTTCTTGAACCTCGTGTCACTCGGTAGTGACGTCTACAATTTGATGATTCGTACGCGAGTGTTTAAAAACGGGAAGGATCTTTAAAGAGCGGCATGTTCTTTAAGTACGAGCGCATCTGAAACTGAAAGCCCGTCGAAGCATGGAGCAGCAGCGGCCAGCACTGACAGGTAGGCCACGCTACAACTCGACTGTTGTGTGCGTGTCCTCGTCTTTTCTTTTTCAGTTCTTTCTGAAAACAAATGTATAAGTTACAATTAGACCTAAAGCCAAAATTGTCGTGAAGAGATACATGTGATCTCTCCATAGTCGGCTGTCGTCGGCCTGTGATCAACGCTTTCCTCGTTGCCCTATTGGGAAGCCTGTGTCACCATGTTGCGACTGACACTCTTCCAGGTATGTGCTACGCAACTTCATGCCCAACAGTTGCAGTGTGATCTAAGGCATTGGCATTGGCATCTGCAACACGATGCTCAGTAATGATAGAGAAGCTCATCCATGGAGTATTCATCTTCATTTAGGGACTTGTAGACTATATCTGTGGTGTGCTGAAATAAAAAATTATTTTGTATGTATTTTTCAGTATAAATAGCTATATAAATTCTTTAAGGTGTTTTACGGATAATGCTCCAAAATATTTTTTTTCCTCTTTGCCAGACTTAAGGTCTCCTAAAATTGCGGCACTCACAACCCCCGACCCTCGCACTGGTAAATTGCATGTTTTCTTTGTAATTAGTTGCAATCCCATATTCACTTTAACTGCTTTTTAAACATTTATCATTGATCTAGATCATTTGCATATTACATATTGCTATAAATAAGTCTATCTACCATACGTTCATTCCATAGCCAGTACATAATTTGACTTTAAAATGCAAGGCAGGGTACTACTAGTTGGGGAAACTATGCTGTACCGTGTTTTTGGTACAGTAGCTGAAGATGTCCAGAGATGATAAAGTAGGTAACTAATTTTTGAAATCGTACACAGGGAAGCCGCTGAACATGTCCTGTGAGGCAGACCCCGGATACCCAGATGGTTTTACTATTGTTTACTGGTTGGTAAATGATACTTTTGTGGAACTGCTGCACCCTGCTGGCAGGATCACCGAAAGTGAGGAGAGGTAAGTTCAGTATGAAGCTCCCTTTTTTTTCTTATTTCCCTGTGGGCTTTTCCCAGCCTGCATTTGCTTTTAAAGTGCATATGTTGTATCAGCTATGGTGCAGGAACATCCACAGGTAAACGTCTCTGCCTTGCAGTGAGATGACAGTCAAGAATTTGGTGGTCGTCCGGAAGGATCTGATGTTGACTGTTGTTAAGCCCGACGATTTCGGTGCCAGTTACACCTGCGTTGTGATGAGCCCCATGGGAAGGGATTCAAAGACCGTCAGCCTGAAACCAAGGAAAAGGTGAGTAAGACTCATCTGGAAACGCCTTGCGATTGTACTTCAGGTCTGGCAGTAGAGGACCCGCCTTCCCACCCCCCAAAGAAAATCTTCATAGTAACATAATAAACCTTACTTTGCACTGCCTCTGATACGTGCATTAATTTTTCCCACCTCAGGAAGAAGTCTCCCCCCAGAGTCCAACGGCGGATTGGCCGGCTGTCTGCCCTTGCTGTAAACTCATAAATGTTATTGACAGGACCCCCCCCCCCCAGCATGTCCAGACTGCAGTGCCTTTTTTTCTCACCGACCTCATTTGGTTTAAAGTCACTAAAATAGTTTTAAAATAAATTCTGCCCTATGAGGTAGTATGTGTGCATATATAGTGGCTTCCAAGAATATTCAACTCCCCCCCCCAAAAAAAAGTGTGTACAGTATTGTGGTTTCTGTCCCATGAATACCCAGATTGTGCTCATTAATGTCTCTTGACTTTAATATCCCCTGTATCACTGCTGATGGGGGAGACTTGTAACTTTTTTATGCGTTTGTTGGTTTGTAGCAAATTAGTTTGTCTAGTATTTAGACGTTCTGGGATTATTAGTTTTTCCCGCTGCTCTGTAGAATCCCATCCCTGCTGTGTCTGTGTTCCGCTGCTTTCTTCCCTGTCCTTCCTGAAACAGGGTATCACACTGGACAAGTGTTTGGAAGATCAATGGTGATCTGTAACCTGGATTTTAGTGACTTCTCAATTGTAAACTGCCCCTAACTGTTGTTCTTAAAGTTAATAATTAAAAAAAATCAAGGATATCTTGTCTTGGTCGGGGTATTTTTGAAGCCTGGGAATTCGTATATGTAAAGTATTTGTATGTGTGGGGTATTTGTATACGTAGAGTGTTTTAACCGTGTAAATGAATGAAGCGTGGTTCTAAACAACTGATAAATAACTGATATAATGCAAAGCGAGAGAGAGTAGTGTACCACTACTGAAAAGTGTCTGTTCATTGCGGTGAGCTTCTAAACCTTAGATACGGTTCAGTATCATTGGCAAGAGGGTATCTGCCTGTTCTGAAGTTTCCTATAGTTGACACTTTGCAATCAATATCCTCAAATCATATAAATAATTTGATACTGCAAATGTACATAGTGACATCATGCGGTAAATACTGCATTGGTGTGAAATCCAGAAATTAGGTCCCGTTGAAATGCAATGAAGACTTTTACGCAAACGGGGGGTATGCTGATCTGGACTTGCTGTACTGCGTTTTTGTTCGTCTGAAGATAATGGTAAAGTATCAAAACCATGGGTTTGAAATTCCCTGGCCTATATTGTTTTCCTAGTGAAAGCAGGACTGCCAACTTTGGTCAGCTGACTGGCATGAGATTTTCAATTAGAGAACAGACTGCACACTCATTAACATGTACACTCACCTAAAGGATTATTAGGAACACCTGTTCAATTTCTCATTAATGCAATTATCTAATCAACCAATCACATGGCAGTTGCTTCAATGCATTTAGGGGTGTGGTCCTGGTCAAGACAATCTCCTGAACTCCAAACTGAATGTCAGAATGGGAAAGAAAGGTGATTTAAGCAATTTTGAGCGTGGCATGGTTGTTGGTGCCAGATGGGCCGGTCTGAGTATTTCACAATCTGCTCAGTTACTGGGATTTTCACGCACAACCATTTCTAGGGTTTACAAAGAATGGTGTGCAAAGGGAAAAACATCCAGTATGCGGCAGTCCTGTGGGCGAAAATGCCTTGTTGATGCTAGAGGTCAGAGGAGAATGGGCCGACTGATTCAAGCTGATAGAAGAGCAACTTTGACTGAAATAACCACTCGTTACAACCGAGGTATGCAGCAAAGCATTTGTGAAGCCACAACACGCACAACCTTGAGGCGGATGGGCTACAACAGCAGAAGACCCCACCGGGTACCACTCATCTCCACTACAAATAGGAAAATGAGGCTACAATTTGCACGAGCTCACCAAAATTGGACATTTGAAGACTGGAAAAATGTTGCCTGGTCTGATGTCTCGATTTCTGTTGAGACATTCAAATGGTACAGTCAGAATTTGGCGTAAACAGAATGAGAACATGGATCCATCATGCCTTGTTACCACTGTGCAGGCTGGTGGTGTAATGGTGTGGGGGATGTTTTCTTGGCACACTTTAGGCCCCTTTGTGCCAATTGGGCATCGTTTAAATGCCACGGCCTACCTGAGCATTGTTTCTGACCATGTCCATCCCTTTATGACCACCATGTACCCATTCTCTGATGGCTACTTCCAGCAGGATAATGCACCATGTCACAAAGCTCGAATCATTTCAAATTGGTTTCTTGAACATGACAATGAGTTCACTGTACTAAAATGGCCCCCACAGTCTCCAGATCTCAACCCAATAGAGCATCTTTGGGATGTGGTGGAACGGGAGCTTCGTGCCCCGGATGTGCATCCCACAAATCTCCATCAACTGCAAGATGCTATCCTATCAATATGGGCCAACATTTCTAAAGAATGCTTTCAGCACCTTGTTGAATCAATGCCACGTAGAATTAAGGCAGTTCTGAAGGCAAAAGGGGGTCAAATACCGTATTAGTATGGTGTTCCTAATAATCTTTTAGGTGAGTGTATGTAAGTTTTATTACCTTGTAAATGGTTGGTAGGGTTTGCAAACTACCCCAACACTTTTGATGTAGCTAATTTTTGTATTTATAATATAATAATCTAGATTTCCCGTTAACTATTTTGCATGAACGTGAGAAAGCATGAGTGTCATGCCAGATGCGGGAGAGTCGGCAACCCTGTGAAAGGAGGCTTGGAATAGTCTTGAAGTGGGGAAAACAGGAGCCATTGCTCCCTTTGTTATTCGGTACCAGGCGCCGGTACTCCCATTGTTATTCGGTACCAGGTGCCGGTGTTCTGTCGAAAAATACTACCTATCGAGACGTGCTATCGAGCCTTTCTGCGCATGTGTAGTTCCACCGTTTTGGGATTAGGGTTAGGGTTAAGGTAAGGGTTTTGGGGGGGTTAGGGTTAGGGTAAGAGTTAGGGTTAGGGCTATCGATTAGCACTACGGTAGCATTTTTCGACAAGGCAGCATATATCGACAGAACACCGGTACTCTCCTTGTTGTTCGGTACCAGGCGCCGGTACTCCCCTTGTTGTTCGGTACCAGCAGATGTGAGAGGTGCCAGTACTCTGAAGTGAAGAACTAGAGGTGCTGGTCCTGCGTAGCGGCACTGATAATACTGTAAATTACAAGTTCTTATATTGCAAGTTGCTGATAAGCTGGCATGTGATTGAGTTTGGCGGTTCTGAACTCGTTATGTCTAAAATACCCAAGAAAGTACTGCGTAATTTACGGGATAGGACAGTGAACGAGCCATGAAAAGAGGAATGTCACCGGCCGGACAAGAAAATTACATATTTTAAGATTAACGATCGCACTCCCGGATTGAACGCACCGTGGAGCGCAGTAAATCTTTCTTCCTGGGGACGAGCCAAAGAAGCAATTAATGTTTTATTAAGGAAGGTCGATGAGTAAGATGTGAGGATCTAGGCGTACATTACCGACGACTACTTAGACACTTTCCAATTACGCCGCGATAACGCGAACATTCTTGTAAATCAGAACATCAGTAACGCTCATATCTCTTATCCCTCCATAAACTCGCGAGTTGCCATTTTTCTTATTTGCTAAGAGGAACCAGCTAATGTGGACCATGCATGTGCCAAATAATATTTAATGTTTAATTACCTTTTAAAACATTCTCACTCTTACTTGACCGATCGTCTTAATTGGGGACTCGGCTATATTTTACGTTAACGGAAAGGAGCGTCAAAGCAAGCTTTATATGCAGGAGAGGGGGAGGGCCTGCCGTATCCGTCTTGCTCTCTCTCCTTCGGCTCCGTGCATGGCGACGAAAGCGCTTATCAGCCCGGCGCAGGTGGGCTGCATCCGAGCAGGTGTGTTATCGCTGCGCACACAATTATGCGCCTCCTCACTGCTGATGGCCTGTTTTTCTCCGGCGCACACAGACCGCCTGCTTTATCTGCACCGTATACCGCAGCCGCTGTCTGCACACGTGGTCCCGCGCTGTGGTTTCCAGGCTCCCTCATACACCTGCTCTCTCTAACATCTGCGTTATGTTATTCTTACAGTCCAGCACACAGCCCTTTGAGATGGGCTGCGAACTCTTCTTTTCACGCTCCTGCACTGGTCTGCCCACATTTTCCATGCACGTTGTATTACAAGCCCTTTATCTAAAGTGACTAGTGTGACAACGTTTACACCTCACATGGGTCATGACAGGACGACTGTTCCTTAACCAATTTAATGCTGAAGTGAACCGATCAAAAGGTTAATGGTTCCTGTCGCTTGCGTATTTTTATCCAGTGTTATTCGCCACTTCCAATAGATTTTTCCACTTATTTCCAACTTATTTTGGTTACTTACTTCTCCTAGTTACTCATTAGACCAAAAAACCCCACTGAAACAATGATTTCATACTTAAGATAAATATTATGTCTATTTCCCAGACGACAAAAACGCACTCCTGCGTATAGCTGCTATTAGGAGAAACCAGTGAAAATCTGGAAAGTCGGCATGAAGGACAATCCTCGCGATTCTCTCCCGTCCTGCACGTAGCCAAGGTTGGATCAGTCCGCGTCGGACTCGCCGCTTGCCGTCTAAGCGCAATCTTTAGAGTGCAGCCGGTATTAATTACGCTGATGGATCTTTCAAGCGCCGCTCTGGAGCCACGGACCTTGTACTGCCTGCTGCAGTCCTAACGAGCGACAGTAAATCAGAGTCTGACGGGGAATCCGTCTTATTGCCTGTGTAAATCCGCTGATTATACACAATGATAGCGGCAATGCGCTGTTCCGGGCCAGAGGATGTTATAGATCGTCTCCTATAGTTAATACAGAAGCCCACCTAGCTGATTACCTACAATGGAATAAGTCGCAACTCGTAGGATGTTAAGATATAATGCAAAATATGGCGTCAATATTTAATATTTTTTTCGTGTTTAACCGTGTCATTATGACCCCCCCCCCCCCTTACACACTTAGCTGCCATTACACTAATTAGTCACTTGGTCAGACAAAGTAACAGTGAACAGGCAGCGCCTGTGGTTTCTTCGCCTGGTCTTTACGGTAATCGATGTTCCTGAAATTGCTTCAGTTACAAACAGTAGTTTTGTGTTTGCTCAGCAAATATAATGACAGGGTAACAATAGCGGTATGGCAGTGAGGAAATTTGTTTTGGCACGTCCTGGATTTCCGTAGTAAATGGGTGAAAGTTCCAAATGAACTTGCAAATGTCTCTCCGAACAAAAGAAAATGATAAACGGTTACAGGAAACGCGCCGTCGTGCGGACACCGTCCCACACGCGCATGCTTACGCACACACAGATTGCCAGAAGACTTCCACTATGAAATATGTCCAGTGCCGGCATACCGTCCACCATTTACTTAATTACAGGGGCATGGCTGGGGGGATGCTGCAGGAGAGTGAAGGTTCGTGGTTGGTGGGGGGGGAAGTAAGCGGGAGCCAGGGAGACTAGCACCGTCTGGAGATGGATGTAGCTGTCCTGTCTGTCTCATTAGAAGAGAGGCTAATGAGCTCCAGTGTTTTCTGCTGGGTCCCAACAGTCTTCCCCCCCCCCCTCCTGTCACTCCTGATCCCTCCTCCGCTCTCTCACTCTCTTCCCTGCTCTGCATCTCTTTGCTCCTAACTTTCTCCCTCTCTCTTTTCCTCTCACTCTTTCCCACCCTCCCTCCCTGGTGG